GAGCATGTTGAGTGGAGTTGAAAATTTCAAACATTCAACTTTGAGAGGCAGTCTTTCCTTCAAGCGCACGAGACTAATAATCTGCTTTCTATTTGCGCAGGTGTATCATTTTTTATTTTTTATTTTTTATTTTTTTTGGGGGGGATGAAATGGAAATTACCGTACCTGATTGAGTTGGTCATGGTCTTAATAACACGGTCGCGTGCATGACATTGGCCGTACCACTAGAATTGTCCATGTAGAGAAACAATTAAACATAAATGAGTATAATATTAACTTTCAACTCTCTACCGACGGAGATTCTTAATTGGGTTGCGGCTATTTTTTATGATAATTTGTTAAGAGTTTCTAAAACTCATACTTTTTCTATAATTTAGATCTTTTGTGTTTGAGGATTAATCCCCCCATTTCACCCAAAAAAAATGCACCGAGCTCTTCATGGATAAAATTCTACACCTTGAAGTTCAGAGCACCTAGCCCAACATATGGGTAGATAGATATGTAGGCGAAGTCTAAATAAAAAAGACAGACTATGAAAAAAAAGTCGCCTTTTCTTGTCAAGTTTTCCACTCATGCTATGATATGCGTCGGGAAGATGGATTTGGTACACAGACACATAAGACTACTGAGACTATTAGATGGCCTAACATGCTCACAAAAAGACGTGATATCATAAAAGCAAACAGAGTTGCAGACTATTAGATGGATTTGCTTTTATATAAAAGCAAATTCAGGGGACAGCGTAGTTTGATTTTGATATTTTCGTTGGCGATTCAAGCGATTTTTTGCGGATATGATATTTGAGAAAATATCTAAAAATTAGACGGTTCGGATCGTTGAAATACATTGTGTGAGAAATTATTGACCCATTTAGTAGCCAAATAAGTATGTAAATTCCCGTACTTTGATTTATTAATAATTGTCGACACTTTTTTCTCCCCTGAATTTCCCTTTGTCTTCTCTCCTCATATCTCATGTGAATAGTTGTGGTCATGGCAAAGGGCAAATGAGTGGAGTTGCTTTTATAGATCTCCCTATTTTCTTTCTTATATAATTTTCTCCCTTTTTCTTTTCCTTCCTGTTTTCCCAAAACAGAGCATCAAGGTCATATTTGCCTTGCATAAAAACGCATGCTTAGCGTTTAGTGTTTACAATCAAATTATCATTTTACTCCAAGAATTTAGCATAGCCACGATCAACAAGAAATTATTATATCAGTCGTGCTCAAGATTAATAGGCAAAGACTTATAGTAAATATGTATATATATCAAACACCATTTTCATTTTTCAAGTCTGATAATGACCTAGAACAGTGTAAAAGGTCTGCAACAAGGTCATTATCAACAAAATCAATGCAGCAAAGGCAGATATGCAGGACCATGGAGTGTCAAAGTAAGTGTACTTGAAGCTAGCCCATTGAACATGCCAACTATTCCCATAATAGTGGTGCACATCATTGAATAACTTAGCCAGATAGCATCTGTCCATATCAAAAGCCACATCTTTCCCCAAATTGTTAACAAATTGAGCAACCTCCCCGTCGTTCCCAAAGCAATTCTCAATGATGTTTCGGTCGCACAAGTACTCAACATCCTTGTATGTGTTCACGAGACAATCCAGCAATGTTGCATAGGTGGTGATGTGCTTGGAACATGACTTGTGGCACTGCTCATAGGCCACACAGTTGAGCAGGAAGGAGCTTATGAAATCATCGATGGTTATCGTGGGCATTTCAATGACTCCGCGCTTGAATTTGATCACCAAGAAGCTCTCACCTTCGCCCGGTCTGAGCTTGATCCCGGCACGGCGAAGCTTCGAAACACAATGAATGGTATGTGTTGGGATAATGTTGCCTCTACGTGGTTCATCATGGCCTGGTGGTATAACACTTGCGCGCAACAAGTCAAGCAAATGCACGCCTACAAGCAAGGTGTTTAATTAAAATACAGAAACAAAATCTAGAGAAATTATGAACAAGTTTCAGGGAAAATGTACTAAACGAAACATCGAAAAAAGGATATTAGTTAAAAATCGAAATTTGTTTCGGATACTAATCGAAATTTGAGACCATACCTGTGAGATTTTGGTGCTTTTGTATGACATGGTCAGGCCTCTGCATATTGTTGTTGAAGAATTCCAATGCAAGCAAGGAGAGTGTTTTCCCGCTGTCTTTATATTCTGGCAAAGTTGTTAGATCAAACAAGACCTCAAGAACAAAATAGGGTATTTGATTCTCAAGCCTAAGCAAGTCCCTGACCAAAAATGATATTATCCAAACCATGCTGACAAGGGGGTCATGTTCCTCAAACTTAACCAAGCGCCCAAATTTCCTAAACAATTCAATTATAAAACAACCATCAAGAACCATCATTTCAATGAACTCATCTGTACTGAGGTTTATACTTTCTGAGTAGCATTCTCTGGCCTCAGCTTGCAGTGGCTCTAACGCCTTGAAATAATCGTTTAAAGTCAACCCTTTGGCCTCTGTTCTTGACAGCAAGGAACCCAAGTAGCGCCACTTGTGCTCTTCGATCATCTTGAGGCTTGGCTCCCCTCTGTGGTATGGGCCGATTGAGAGGATCTGGGGGTTGTACGACTTGCCGTTTATCTCGCGCAGGCTCTGTGGGATTCTGAAAATGCAGCAAGACGGTTTGCCTGCTGCATTGCTGAGGAGTCTTGGAGGCTCAGAGATCTTCTTGTGCATGGAGGCTAAGCGGCCCTCGTTCACTTCCCAGATACCGATCACATGGTTGGTTTCTTGTTGTATTGGATTGGTGCCCATCTCCAGTGTTGTCATGAAGATGATGAATTGGGTTCTGAAATTGAAATTGATGTTTGTTTAATGAGAGGAATATGTGAGACACTGAGAGGTTGAACACCAGGGGTTTTTGGACAGCAAGACAAGGACTTCAGGATAATATAATCGAGAGATGAGTTCAAATGCGCACAAAACGTCCAAGTTGCTCAACCAACCAGTCAACCACAATTTGTTTCTGTATTATTTTTGTGCTCGAAGATTAAAACTTACTTATCAGTTGAATATCCTAATCTAAAAGATATGTTCATTAATGATGTCCTCATTCAACTTCTCCTTATGTTTCAAGATTTTAATGCTATCACTCCCAATTTCATTTTGAAACAAGTTTTGTAATAAATCATTTTGTTTAACATATATATTTTATTTATCTAACTTGTAAATTCAGAATTTCAATATTTGATACCTAACTAATGGAACATGATTTTTATCCATCCTGTAGTTCTTAAAAATAAAAAACAGTAATATGTAAATTCAACGGGTCTAGGTCACTGAAAAAGAGCCTGAAAAATAACTTTTAAGAACTCTTTTGTTTGGCGAGAAAAAACCTTAAAACTTTTTTTCCAAATTTCTCCTATGTTCTAGAATCTATGATCGTGAATAGTAATACCCATGTAGGATTCATATTGATTTTTATGCGGAAAAGTCGGGAAGAACATTGGACTCAATGAATAGTCAATACTCAATAGTATCTAGAAAAACAAAAACAAAAAAAAAGTCAATAGTATCTTTTTATTTTGGGTTTTTTTTTTTTAAAGGTATTAGACATAAGTAACTTTACTAATTAGTATTTGAGACATTGGATATTTTTGTTTGGGCTTTAATACCGAGGAAAGAATTGTTATTTTAGATTAGACCAAAGAGGAGGCCCAAATTCATTGGACCAGCTTAAAAATAAAAAGTGAAAAGACAATGGTACCCTTCTTCTGCCGGGAGCTTTAGTTTTCACACACAATATAGTTTACTATTTAGGTAAAAAAGAATTCTATTTCAGTTAATTAGGATAAAGCCAAAAGCCAAAATATAGTACCTGCTTTTACCATAATATACTTAAAGAACATTAAAATGACAACATAAGTCATTATGCCATTATTTTCAAATTTCAATATTTAGTTTCAAATTTACAAAATATGCCATTATCCCATTCGCGCGAGTATTCGTCTTCACTTCGAGAAACCGCCTTCCATATTTTCACATTATTCCCAAAAACACAGAGACTGCAGATCGACGATCATTCACAATAAACCACAATCAACGACGACCACCAACAACGAAGACCACTAACGATCGAAGCCAATTCCCACTCTCTTGGAAAAAAAAAATGTAAGAAAATCAATGCTCTAACACAAATTTGCCTTCGATTTTAGGGATTAAGGATTTAGACATTTTAGCAATTGTTCATTATGCTTTCTTCTTTTGGAAAAATGGATGACTCTTTGGATTCACAACTACTCTTGGTTTGGATTTTGTCTTCGTTTATAAGGATTTTAGAAATTTTACCTGTTGTTCATTCTTCATTCTGCAATGTAGTTTAGGTTTTGGGTTTAGTTTTGGTTTCAAATCCTCTAAAAACCAAAAAATCACCAAAGAAAGAGGAAAAGCATCAAATATATCCATTTTCTGCACTGAAGAAAACGGAAATTGCCCTACAGTTTTAGGTTTAGTTTGTAGTTCTTGTTTTGACTATTCTAATCTTTCCATTTCTTGTCACGTTACTCCTATTATATTTCTATTATGTTTGATGTTTTGCATTTTGGATTGCTCCTTTTAAAAGATGAAGAAGAGCATCAAATATTTTTGTTTTCTCCATTGCAAAAAACGAAAATTGCAATGCAGTTTGCGTTAATGCAATGCAATGAACTGCAACCTACATTGCAATTTTCGTTAATGCAATGCAATGAACTACAAACTACATTACATTAACAGAAACTGCATTGCAATTTGCGTTAATGCAACGCAATGAACCACAAACTGCATTGCAGTTTCTTTTTTCTTTTTTCTGCTCAACTATTTATACTTCTTCCTTGTAGTTTATCTCTACTTGTCCTAATAGTGTTTTCATCCATTCTTGTTTCAAATCACAAATGACACAAGAAATGTCACCACAAAAGAATGAAGCTCAAAATCAACGAAAGTCAAGAATCAAAATAATGGCTCAAAAGAGAAAATCAAAGGCAAACTATAATAGGAAAGCAAAGCACCCGGACTATACCCAATTTTGGTGCAACGTCAATGCTTTCAATAGCATCATTACAGACGTTAATGACAAGCTCAATGAAAGGCAGAAGAAACTACTCAATAAAACGCATTTCTAGAACTTGATTGAGCTGTTTCACAACAAAAGAATTGACATGAATAACATGAATAAGTTGGACCTCGACTTAATAAAGCTACTCAAGAAGTTTGATCCAGATACAAAGTCCTTCAATTTCGGCACCAAATCATTCCAAATCACAGTCAATGCAGTGACTGAGATTCTAGGACTTCCAAACGAAGGAAACTCTGTCAAACTTGGCAATGATAGATACACTGCTACCTTCATAACAAGGCATTTTGGAAGAAAGTCAAAACCATCAAAAGACATGGTAGAAGAAGAATTACAAAAGACAATTGCCTTGGCAAACCAACCGAAGAAAGAAAAGGCCAAGGTAAAGCAAAAGAAGAAAACGAACAAAGGAACGGCAAAAAAAAAAAAGCTGAAGAAAAAGAAGAAAAAGAAGGGGAAGACGAAGAGGAAAAGAAGGGTGTTGACTACGACAAGAATATGGTCAGCCTAATCTTGATTCTACTCTGCATGACATTCCTCTTTGCCAACTCGTCATCCACTTTGCACTAGAAAATTGTTGAGCATTGTGTGAATCTAGACACACTTTCAAGCACTCTTTTTTTGGTTGCTTATCTTTTTCGTACTCATAGAAAGATGCTTGATGCCTCTTCCTTTCTCTGTTCTTTAGCCTTTGTATTCTTGACAGAACATCAGGTGTTGGAGCATCTAACTTCTTCTCTTCTTCTTTCTCTTCTTGTTTCTTCTCTTCTTCTCTTCTCTGGTAGTTTCTCGCTTTTTATATGTTTTCAAAATACCCTGTACAATGAGAATGATTTAGAAACTGCATTGGATAAAATACAAATTGCATTGCAAAAAACAGAAACTGTAATGCATGAGCCACTGTGTACATATTCAAATTACCTTGTCAACATGGTCTTCCTCTTCTAGTAGTTTTTCGCTTTTTATGGGTTTTGAAAATACCATGTACAATGAGAATGATTTAGCATGAATTCACATTCAAGATACATTAAAATAGAACATGCAATAAATTGCATACCTTTATGTCATTTAAGTCCTCTATTTGGTTGAATCTTCTGTGGAGTTCCACAAGACTTTATTTAAAAATTGCAAGAGTTTCTTTCTCCTTGCCAAGGATTGGTTGTATAATGTTTGTCCTCGCACACAGTAGAAACTACACAGTTCTAAAACAAGATATATCATAAATAAGGTTGGAAACTACATTAGATAAAACAGAAACTGCATTACAATCAAAGGAAACTGCATTGTAGTAAATGGAAATTGCATTGTATTAAATGGAAACTGCATTGCATAAAACTCAAAATTGGAAACTGCATTGTATCAAATGGAAATTGCATTGCATAAAACTCAAAATGCATTGTGTAAGCCACTATTTACTTACTAATATTAGGATAGTGCAACCCGAAACAACTCTTATAGAGGTTTCTCTTCCCCTTTTTGCTTTTGCCTTTGTGATCAAAGAGTCATTTATGTAGGTTGATACAGCTCTTGCTCGCGAATAGCTTGAAAGTGTGTCTAGATTCATACAGTGCTCAACAATTTTCCAATGCAAAGTGAATGAAGAGTTGGCAAAAAGGAATGTCATGCAGAGCAGAATCAAAATTAGGCTGACCACATCCTTTTCGTAGTCAACAACCTCCTTTTCCTCTTTGTCTTCCCCTTCTTCTTCTTCTTTCAGCTTCTTTTTTTGCTTTTCCTCTGTTCGTTTTCTTCTTTTGCTTTACCGTGGCCTTTTATTTCTTCGGTTGGTTTGTCAAGGAAATTGTCTTTTGTAATTCTCCTTCTACCATGCCTTTTGATAGGTTTGACTTTCCTCCAAAGTGCCTTGTTTTGAAAGTAGCAATGTACCTATCATTGCCAAGTTTGACAGAGTTTTCTTCGTTTGGAAGTCCTAGAATCTCAATCACAACATCGGCTGTGATTTAGAATGATTTGATGCCGAAATTGAAGGACTTTGTATTTGGATCAAACTTCTTGAGCAGCTTTACAAAGTTGAGGTCCGACTTATTCATGTTATTCGTGTCAATTCTTTTGTTGTAAAACAGCTCAATCAAGTTCCAAAAAGGCGTTTTCTTGAGCAGTTTCTTCTGCCTTTCATTGAGCTTGCCTTTAACGTCTGTAATGATGCTGTTGAAAGCATTGACGTTGCACCGAAACTGGATATAGTCCAGGTGCTTTGCTTTCCTATTATAGTTTGCCTTTGATTTTCTCTTTTGAGCCATTATTTTGATTCTTGGCTTTCGTTGGTTTGAGCTTCATTCTTTTGTGGTGGCATTTCTTGTGTCATTTGTGATCTGAAACAAGAATAGATGAAAACACTATTAGGACAAGTAGAGATAAACTACAAGGAAGCAGTATAAATAGTTTAGCAGAAAATAGAAAAAAGAAACTGCAATGCAGTTTGCGGTTCATTGCATTGCATTAACACAAACTGCAATGCAATTTCCGTTTTCTGTAATGCAGGTTGTAGTTCATTGCATTGCATTAACGCAAACTGCAATACAATTTCCATTTTTTACAATGCATAAAACAGAAATATTTGATGCTCTTCCTCTTTTAAAAGGAGCAATCCAAAACGCAAAACATCAAACATAATAGAAATATAATATGAGCAACTTAAACATGAAATGGAAAGATCATAATAGTCAAAACAAGAACTACAAACTAAACTGGAAACTGTTGTGCAATTTCCATTTTCTTCAATTCAGAAAACATATATATTTGATGCTCTTTCTCTTTCTTTGGTGATTTTTTGGTTTTTAGAGGTTTTGAAACCAAAACTAAACCCAAAACCTAAACTACATTGCAGAATGAAGAATAGATAAAATTTCTAAAATCCTTAATCCCTATAAATGAAGGCAAAACCTAAACCAAGAGTAGTTGTGAATCCAAAGAGTCATCCATTTTTCCAAAGGAAGCATGCATAACGAACAGTAGCTAAAATGTCTAAAATCCTTAATCCCTAAAATTGAAGGCAAATTTGTGTTAGCGTTGATTTTCTTACCCCTTTTTTTTTCAAAAGAGTGAGAATCGGCTTTGATTGTTGATGGTGGTCGTTGGTGGTCGTCGTTGATTGTGGTTTACCGTGAACAATCGTCGATGTGCAGTCTCTAAGTTTTTAGGAAAATTCTGAAAATGTGGAATGCGGTTTCTGGAGGTGAAGACGAATACTCGTGCGAACGGGATAATGGCATATTTTGTAAATTTGAAACTAAATATTGAAATTTGAAAACAATGGCATATGTTGTAATTTTCATGTTCTTTAATTATATTATGGTAAAAGCAGGTACTATATTTTGGCTTTATCCTAATTAGCTAAAATTGAATTCATATTTTACCTAAATAGTAAACTATATTGTATGTGAAAACTAAAGTTCCCGAAATAGGGATTTATGTTTAGAAACACGAAATTATATTTCATTTCAACCTCTAAATCAAAAAACAAACTGATCTTACTGAATACATATATATGATCATGCGTATACTTGTTTCGAAGAGGACGATGGCTTGTCTGTAAAATCTGTCACGTTAATACTGATGAAGAATCTTGGAGGGTTTGAAGAGGAAGGACATTCATAGCTAGCTAGATGGAAACAAAGATTTAATGAAAGTGACCATGTTTCATTTCATGCACTGGCGTTTTAAACGTTGTTGAATGTTAAACGTGGAAGAGGTTCCAGAAATATAAAAACCCACGTGGGAGAAATAATGTTCTTCTTGTGTTTGCTATAAAATAGTTTTCTAATTTATGAAAGCCCTAACATTCATACTCATTTGGGAAGCAAACATTTATTTTCAAACATCCAAACCCCTTTGAAACAAGCACAGCCAGAGCTCTATGGCTTCCATTTAATTTATAATTAGTCATGCACTCGGTGTCAGCAAGCAATTCATAACATCAAGATCACGAACAAACAAATAAATAAAAAAGGAGAGCAATGATGAAACTTTTTATGCAATCTATGAAATTGAAAAGGGAACAAAAATAGTCAAATACTGCATCATTTCACCAATCTGCACTCAACTAACAACCTTAATTTCCAGTGTAATCCTAATCCCACTCCAACTAACAGCTCATTATCTTTCAATTTGGAACCAACTTAAGTCAGTTCCTGGAAACAAAGAGGTGCCCTTCCCAGAATGTGGCATCTTGATAAGCAGTGAATTTGTCTAAACCAAGAGGTGTCCCTCACACGGCTCTCCCTCTAAAAAAAATTCACACTTCTGCAACTACTCGAAGAAGAAAAAAAAAGTATCTATTCTAGACAGTTAAAATTATCCCCCCAGCATTTGCAAAGTGATTATAGTGTGACTGCAGAAGCCAAGTCCATCTTTATAATTGAGCTAGAAACAAACACCAAGGCATGCCCTAAACAACAAACCCCAAACTTTCAGTTGTATATATATAATAATACTGCTCCTATGATTCTTCTATATTTCTATTCTGACTAAAAAGAACACTGTTGTTATCGTGTTCTTATTCTATGAACCATATCTGACAGAAAATGTTATTTGCAAGAACCACTGTTCTTATCCTGAGATGACATGGCATTCTTGCGTCATCAGTAAAGATCCCAATACATAAAACTTATTACTTATCCATAAAACACTGTTTTGCCAAAACCACTACATATTAAATTCCAGAATAGGACAGCATAATTCAGGAGGCCGCATATATATCACACGTACCTTTGGTTTAATAAGGAGCAGCACACTCTTTGTAGAGGCCAAATAGAAACCCTGTAGGATTTACCAACAATTGTCAACCGCGCATTCCACAGGCTTTAATCCAATAGAAAATAGTACTTTGACGAAATACAGAATGAATGACTCAAAGAAATCGACATAGATACAAAAGCTCAGTATCAGTAACATGCTGATGCAGTATACTAGAGAGAGAAACCCTATCCCAGTCAAAGCTGAACACTCATGGATACCCTAACCCTTTATTATCTGAGAGAGAAACCCTAACCCAGTCAAAATTGAACCCCAAATCCATCACCAATTGAACCAAAATCAGAGAAAACAAGTTTGAATTCATATTGAAACCAATCTAAGGTTATATTGTAGAAATTTGAAATAATATCCAGTAATCACAGAGGGGGGATGATATAGCAGACAGAAGAGGAAAGGGATGAGAATTTGTACCCTCCGTGTGTTGACTTCTTTCTTGGTTCGTGGTTCGTGGTTTGTCGGCGATGCTCGTGGTTCGCGTTGGAGGCTCGAGCGTCAGGAAATTTCCAAATAACGCCGACGAACCAGACTCGACTCGAGTATCTTTTTGTTTTGTTGTATGATAAATTGAAAGCCCATTCTTAGTAACCAATGGCCCATTTTTGTTAGCCCAATAAACAGTTGTGGCTCATAGTCAAAACTTATTTGAAACTTGGAAGAATAAGTATGTGGCTATACGCAAACTAGCAATGCTAGGCATCAAGAATTCTATAGCAAGGGCATTATATATGGTCCTTACGTGAGGCTATATCTTTTAGTCGTTGAATCAAATTAGTTAGTCGTTGGATTAAATTGATTAGCATGATCCAACAGTTAAGATATGGACCTCACCAAAAAGTCATAGATAAGGTCATCACTATAGAATGACTCTACTAGGATATTACATTAATTTGTATACCACCTTTCTAATAGAAGTGGATCCCACCTCTATAATAGAGGTGGTACAATGTGGTATGACAAGCATTTTTGTGTATAAATGTGGTATGACTAGCATTTTTGTATTGGCAATGATACAACCTGCAAATAAGACTCAGTGATCATATGCAGAAAACAATACCAACAAAAAAACCATATAATTGAATTCATCCATCATCAGAATCAAATGACCTAATCTATTGTTTTCTTTGGTTGGTAACAAAACACCTAACTTAGAAAATGAAATTATTTTCATTTTTATTTTCTTAGAAATAGGAATTTATGTTCAGAAACATGAAATTATATTTCAACCTCTAAATCATAAAACAAACTGATCTCACTCATTTTCTTGTTTCCCTTTTTCTTCATTCATGAAGAATCCAACATGGGATCACTTTGGTAAACATACTTTGCAATATTTATTTGTTTGGATATTTATCTTCTTTTTTTCTGTAAATTATTCCCAGACAATATGTAATTAAGAATTCATTACAAGTCTAGCTGATAATTATTTTCAAAGAATCAATCACTCCACAAGGAAAAATCAACAGCATTCTCCATATCATCATCAAAATCATTCCAATTAAAACCTTTCTGCATGGCTGGTGGAGTGAGAATCAAACCCTCAGCCAAGCTGTCAATCAACCCCGGCATGTTAAACAACTCCTCCTCATCCAAATACACCACTTCTTCTTCTTGCTTCTCCTCCAAACCCGATGCTTTAACTTCAACCTCAAAAAAACCCTCAGCAGCCGCCGCAGCAGCACACTGTAGGTCTTTAACAGAACACGTGGACGTAATGCGTGGCAGGGTACTTGCCTCATGAGGAAAGTTCAAAGCAGCAGACTCTCCCTTGAGAGCCAAAGCAGCTACATCATAAGCCCTAGCCGCCATGTCAGGGCAGGTGAAGGTCCCCAGCCATATCCGCGACTTCTTCTGATCAGGCTGCCTCAGCTCACAAACCCACTTTCCACACCTTTGCCTCACGCCTTTGTAAATTGGGTGCCTTGTCTCATTGAACTTCTTCCTACCTGCCTTCCTCTTCTTAAACTCTACACTCTGCAAGTGGGCTTGAGCTGAAACTCGATTCGAAGACGACGAAGCGTCGTCTGTAAAATCTGTCATGTTAATGTTGATGGAGAATTTTGGAGGGTTTGCAGAGGAGGGACATTTATAGCTATAGCTATAGATCGAAACAAAGATTTAATGATATGAAAGTGACCATGTTTCATGCAGTGGTGCTGTGTTTTAATTTTAAACGTTGTTGAATGTTAAACGTGGAAGAGGTTCCAGAAATACAAAACACGTGGGAGAAAAGAAATGTTATTTTTGTGTTTGCTATAAAAATAATTTTTTAGTTTGAAATTTATTTTGGTGCATGGGGGACCAGAGAAGTTCCTCTCTCTGAATGCACAAGTCATAGAAGGTAGATAGGCATGGCCATTGCATTTTCATAAAATAATCAAATCAATGAGGCCTTTGCCTTTTAGACTGTTTCATGGTTTTGAATTTTTCATGGGTTTTGAAAGGACAAGGTCCACACTAGAAAATGAGATACTGGGGACGGGGACGGTGAGTTTTGGGCTTTTCATATTATTCTGATTCTGGACACTTGGCAGTGGGATGATGGAAGTCAGATTGGGGACCATTGAGGAAAACAATTTCAATGTTGGGTCCTGGGTGAGTGTGACCATAACTGAACTGATCACGTGCATCAATTGTCGTATTTTAATAGGGACACTTGTATCTTAATTATTTGCATCCAAAAGCAATTTGGTTTTGATTCTCCAGAAATTATTGGGTGTTACGGCCACATTTGCGACATCATGGTGTACTAATTCACGTGTTATCAAATCATATGAGTGGTTGATAAAGTTATTGGTTATATTTGTATCATATTACTGGTGATTTGCCCTTTGAACTTGTACATAATTTTCTATTTACTCATATCCTTTTTTTTTTAGAAAATTAAGAACATGAACTTCTTTTTTTCTCCAATTTCCCATCTGCCTTCTAAATTCGAAACATTTCATCCAATTTGCCGTTACATATGAGGGTATAATAGTCATTTCATACGTTAAAAATAAATAAATAATGAAAAATAAAATAAAATAACGAAAATTGAAATAATACTCATCTCTCTCTCTCTCTCTCTCTCTCTCTCTCTCTCTCTCTCTCTCTCTATCACAGGCACTGATGGAAAATGAGGTAATTTTCAAGCTCTTTCTTGCTCTAAGACTTTGAAACTTCAATTTCTGTTTAATGGGTTTGGGATTTGGAGGACTAGTTCACATAGTAGTGGAAATTGAGCTGGAAAGCTCATTGAGCTTTAAGTTTTCCTTACAATGAACTTAAGTTGATTTTGGGTTGGTTTGGGGAGAGAGAGAGATCTGAGGGTGGTGGAGATGGAAGGGGAAGGGGAAGAAGGGAAAGGGAAGGATGGGAAAGGGAAGAGAATGAGGAAAGGGAGGGGAAGGGAAGGAGGAGATAGATCAGAGAGGGAGGGTGGGGGGGATGGAAGAGGGAGGAAGGGGAGGGAT